AATGAAATACTCAACTCCCTGGAGCCCATATATAAAAAACATTTTGGAATAAAACAGCTCTAAAGAAGAGTAGGGGAAGATCTTTTGGTTTTCCATGTAATCCTGCTCTTGAAAATGCTTATTCTTTACAAGAGACAGAACAGAGAAAGCACATCTAGTGTCTGAATTCAAATAGGCTGTACTCACTCTTAAGTATTAGATACAGGGAAATAAAGAAAAGAATTCTACCTCATCTTTTGCCTTCCCCAAATTTTAAGCAATTCCAAGAACATCACTGCTACACTGAGCCACTCTATCCATCTTTACACAGCCAGCAGAGCAAAACAAAACATCTCTTTTCCAAAGCCAGGATAATCAACAAAACTTCCTTCAAAAAGGGGTAAGGAAAGGGAAGGAGAGAGACAAAGTAAGCTTTCCCAAATTTCAGCTTCTTGCTCCTATTCCCTCTGCCTGTATTGAAAACATAAGGTAAGCAATGACATAGCAGTGTCTTTGGTATCCAAACCAAATCCCACGTAAGTTCTGTGAGATGGATCGTTTATTTAAAAAAATAGCCTTATTTGGAGATATAGTCTACATCTGAACTCAGGGAGCCAAAAATTTGTCTCAAAGAGTATGCGCAGAAAGGTCTCAATTTTTCCTAAACTGGCATCATTTCTCATTCACATTCCCATCAAACAATATTCTCCTAGATCCCACCAACCAATCCTTAAAGGTCACACCTTATCATACATGTGAGGCAAGGAAGTATTCAACTTCTTGATTTGGTTTTTCTTCTGTTGTGTTTTTAGTCTAGACAGAACTAGTCTTGGTATGAGAAAAGAAAGTAAGGTTTTAAAATGTTGTGCTAACACAACATTCAGTAACTTGACAGAGGACAACAAAAAGAACGTGTTTAACTTTAATTTTCCTAGATTAAGATATACCAATCACTCACCTCTCCATTCCTATCCAAATTAATTGGTGCATGTCTATTTCTGCCTCTATTTCTCAACCACACACCCAGACATTCACACATCCATCCTTTACCTAAGCTTTTGCTATGTACAGAGGTAATGAATCATTAGGAGAGGCTGGCAGGGACTGGGAGGCATGGGCAGCCACAGAAAGGGATATAAATGCACCCTTAGGGACCCTGAACCTACTGGATACCTTATATGTTACCTGCATGCACCACACGCTGTGCTGCCGATCAGACCACAGAAAGGCCAACAAATCCCAAACCCAATCACAGGGAAAATCAAGTTTCCTTTGGCAAGACAGATATAAGGAAAAACAACTAAACACACATGAACGTTTTCCTTCTAACATAATCAACTTCTCCTCTTCCCCCAACCCAACCCTCCCTAACCCTATAAATTGTAACCTATAAACAGGATCCCAAATACATACAGCATTAATCATGTTTATCAATCATAATAAACATTAATTCAACTAAATGCTACAGCTAGAATTATTTCCACTATTTATAAAGTTTATTTATTTATTTGGTTTTTAGTATAAAACCAGTTTGCAACAATACTAAACTATGCTGAGGTATTTTATGAAGGTGCCAGAAGCTAGCTGTTACCCATGAGAGCATTATCCTCACAGATTAAGGTACCACTATTCAAAGAGAAAAAGAAGAAAAGGAAACGAGGAAGGGAGGTCCATATTACGGAATCAACATGAGATTCACTCAAATTTACTGCTTTTAACAAAGGCCAACAATAGAAGAGCCAAAACAAGGAACTACTACTTCATGAACAAGGATGGTCAGAAGAAAACAACAGTTCACAAACTATACAGGGAACCAGGTACAAAATGTACAACTCTGAGAAAAAACATATTCTCTGTCCTTCTGGTGGACTCCTTTCAAACACGTTACTAGAAATCACAGGGGTGTCCCATTTAATCTCTTTAGATTAAGGAAAGGATGAAGCAGAATAGAATTCATATCAGCCTTTTTGATAAAGGAAATTTACCCTACTCCTGTCCAAGTTTACATTTGTGTTGTGTGCACTGTCCATGAAACCTTATATAATAGCCGGTCTTAACTATTCTTCCTGGAGGAATGGCAAAGAATTTTTTCCTTCTCAAAAGTGAAGGTAAATGCTAAGATTTACCATTTTATATAGTGTCATCCTCAAAACGTTATAAAACTGAAAATGACTTCAAAACAGCCGGGACTATGGTGACATGAACAGTGTCACACGTTAAATGCTTTTCACACACACACACAAAAGTGAACTCATAATAGTTAGGAGTAAAGCAACCCACCAATTCTTGCCCTTTCGGATAATTTTAAATTTTAGGTCTTTAGTCTTTTTCTCCCAGTAGTTATCGGTCATCTTGTAACGTTTTCAGTTCTAACAAACAGGGTTTGAAGAATAAACAAACTTTAAATTTGTCAAATTTAATGAGAAAGTATTTGACCAAACTCTCCTAATGAACTGTTGAGGCCCTTCTTGAACTGAGGGTTCTCAAAGTGCAGACTGGTCTTGGGGGGGCGGGGGGAGTCCGCAGAGGCGGAGGCAAAGCAGACTGCCAGCATGAGGTCCCTGCCACACCCTGTGGTCAGGTCCACCAACTTCTCCCCGGCATCACGTTTCCTTTCTTGGGGAGAAACCAAAAAAAAAGAGCCTTCTCCTCTGTCTTCCTATCTCAACGATCTTACTTTTTTCTTGGTCAAGAAAGTTTTGTGAGGATGACATGGTTTGGGAACAACTTTAGGCTATGAACTACAGAGAATTTCCTCTGTAAGCCAAGTGTTTACAGCTGTGATGTTTTCCATCAGGATTTATAACATTAAAAATTGACATGAATTTCCTATACTGTGAATGTATCTGGCTTTTCCAGCAAGTTAAATAGAAAATTTAATGTTAAAGATTGGGCAGAATTTAAACACCATGTCGAGCAAATATCTGTGCTTCTTGATAATATAGACAAGATTTCCCCTATCTTCCCTAAAAATGAGGGGTAATGGGACAAAATGACATTAAAAAGAGGTATAATTGTGCTCTTTTTCTCAACAATAAATGAATGATGGAGAAGAAATTGGCAAGCTGATCTCACTAAAAATCTTTTAATTAATTTTGTTTTCCCTTATTTCAAGAAAAAAAAAAAGATTGTTAATTTCTAATAATGCTACCATAAAGTATAAATAGGTATGGTCTTACACAAAATCAAAGTTTGATTCCTTTGGTTCCATTTCTTGAGTAACAAGTTGAGTAAATTGGGATGGTATTGATCTTTCTGATAATAAATAAAAAGAAGTGTGTATTATCAGTTAATGTATACATACAATTTTTTTCTTAATTCTAAAAAGCTGCCTACAGAACTTCAGAAACATTTAAACTAATATAGCACTCAACTTATTTCTTAGAACAATAACATTGTTCCTGTGAGAAGCCCTTTTTTAGGTCTTTCTGCTCTGTCCTTCAGATTTACACAGGGTATAAATGAAGTTCATGACCAAATTACACCGCTTATGATTAGCAGGATTCAATTACATTCACCACTCCCTAGGGAGGGCCCATTACCATGGGCAAATATAGTATCACTATAAATGCATTTAGAATTAGTCTTTGGCTTAATATGTGTTAACCAAATTCAGGGATGAAATAAAACTTGCATAAACATTAAGGGGTTAAAAAGAATGACAGAATGAATTGTGATGACCTAACTGGCCTTTCCTCTTCTAAATGCAAAAAGTCTACCACACACCTCTTTTTGGTCAAATGCCTCCTTCAGTTTCCAGACTCTCCCATATAAGGTGGCTAAAAGTTAAGCCTGAGTACCTTAGCTTAGGAGATAGTTCATTCAATTCAAAAAGCATTTCTTGAGATGATAAAAAAAGATTATATGAAGTAAAAAAGGACAAATGTGTTCATGAAGCAATATAATCAGTAGAATATCTAGGGATGCTGATTGGAAGTTGATTTTCAACTAAATACCCACCAAACAGGCTATATTAGTGTTTCATGTGTACATGTATAAATGTACCTTTCATTTCACAACTTATTTTTAAATCAGTGAAAAAAGAGAAAATTTTTCTAAAAATTATCATTGTCTAAAGATTCATTTCTTCTTTTAAACACAGATTTTTATACTGGTTTAAGGTCTACCCTCATCAAGTGATCCACACACAAAAAAAGACAGAATCCCCTTCTTCCAAATTGACTAGAGAATACAGACAGGGCAGGGAATAAAAGACCATTGTACTGACATTTAAAAGCTTAGTATCTTCCTTAATAGTAAAGTCTGTCTGTTGGTGAATTTTATTTGGGAAAGGGATCATTTTTTTTAACCACATAGAAAAACAAAACAAAACAGCCTTTCCTTGCCCTTCCCATTGGGCTTGAGTCCCTTGGGACTCAACACTTCCTTTGGTAGCAATTTTGGGAAATTAATGCTATAACCTCTAATCAGTATAGTGGGTATCAGCATTTCCCTCCCTGAATCCTTCCTCCTAACTTTCACTACTCCCAAGGGGGGGAACTCATTACTATGGGCAGCTACAGTATCACTGATGGACCTAAAATTATTTGCACAGACTAAAGTTAGAGATGTCAAGTCAGGATAAAAGATTAAGTTTAACTACAACAGAGAAAAAGCAGATGGAGAGGAGAGAAATTAGTAACTGACACTGCCATTCTATTTACACACCAACCTAAATAAACTAGTTAAAAATCAAGGTAATGTCTGCCCAGAGGATATAACAATTTATCAACATAAAAGATTAAAAAACAAGCAGCAACTTTTATATAAAATTAATAAAGACAAACGAAAAAGAAATTGTCAGTAGCTTCTATCTCCTCAATGTGTCTGAACTGCATGTTATAAACTAGTCCATTAGTACAGCAGCTTGCTAAAAATTGACTTTGGTTCAAGCTTAGTTAAAAAAAATAAAAAAAACATTAAAAACAAAACAAAACACACCACACAAAAATGGTGGATGGACATCTATTAGTTTCCCTGCTTGCAGTTCACTGATTTTGGAGGAATTTTAGGGAAGGTGAAGGGTACGAGGAGGAAATTTAGGGGTGGCAATTAAATACTTTGTGAAAAAACAAGACAGAAAGAACTAAAGAAAAATTTTAAAGGGGACTAAAATGTTTCTGATCTTTTAATATTAATGTTGACTGTCTCCCACTTGAATCACAAACAAAAGTACACAATGTGTCTATATTACTGTTTTTTAAAAAAATGGTGGAGAGAGACACAAATACACAGAATCCAAGCTCTCTCCTGGACACAAGCAAAGCAATCAGAACAAAAGTCACCTGTAAGCGCTCTTTCAACCCCCAGTTTGAAAGGGGGAAAAAGTGCAGTCTTGAGACTACTGGACACTGAAGCCACCACTCAGACACCAAATGGGAACCTTAACTCCAATTAAGAAGGGGAACTTAGATGAACTGCATTGCAGTGATCCAGTCTTTTGGGAAATTTTTTGGTACAGATAGCATAATAACAGGACTTTAACAAAAAGGGGAATTTAATCTCCAAGTTATCCTCATTTCTCTTCATCCCCTTTCACAAGCTCTTCCTTTTCAATGGGCTCATTTACATAGTCTAGAAACACCCTGAAAACAGTTACAGGAGCTAATTACTTTCTACATTGAATAAAGAGACGTGTATTGCCATTCAAACCTACCTAGCAGGAGCATCACAAACAAACCAAGGAGATACTTGAGGTGTGTACAAAGTTCTTGCTCAACGCCCTTCTTCAAAGGTTCTACAGATCCTATGGCTGGCTAAAAGTGCCTCCTTTAGTCAGAGAACCAAGGAGAATCTCAGGGTTGGAGGAATTGATAAGCCACCCAGTGGAAAGGAAGTTTACGGCTCTCCAGAGAAAAAGGTGGTAACCTTAGACTCTTCTCATCACACTTCTTTTGGATATATAGCCGATGGAAAATAGTCTAGTAAAATTCCTTCAGATAATAAAAGAAGGGAAAAATTTCTCAATTTCAATAGGTCAATTTGTTCTTTGTCAAGTTAGCTAAAGGAGGTTTGGATGAAAATCTTCCATAAAATGGAAAAAAACAAGCAAACAAACACACCAACAGTAGGAGCATTTTTCAGAAGATAAGAAATCAAGAGAACCACCAAGTCAGGTGTCTGCAGTAGTCTTTGCTCTTCAGAACCAAATCCTGCCCTGCACATGTACAACTGTTCCCACTGAAAGTAGCAGAAAGCAGCATTGTTACAGCACGGGATCTGGGCCTCAGGGTCATTCAATGATTTGGGGGTGAGTGAGAGCTACAGTTCAGCAGGAATTCCTTCCTACACAAAAGTGCTCCAAAGGCACCACCTGATGGGGGCAGGGGACGTGTGTGGAGTGGGAGTGTTTGCACACACAGTCTTCAGCTTCTGCACCAAGCTCTTGCATAAGTGGCAAAAGAAAATAATTTTCTAGCACCTCTGTAAGAGTCATCAAGGATAAGGAAACCAGCAAGAACATTCCCCATAGTTAAGTACGTAAGTCTCCCCTTACCCCCAAACCCTCCCTCCCCACAGTGTGGGAGCTCACTGAAATAGGATCCAGGAGCAAGAGATAAACATGTCCAAACTATATATATATATAAAAACAATAACAACAATAATAATAGAGATACAGTAATACAGGCCTGCCTAAATTGTACCAGTTAAGAAAGGAACCCCAACACAATTGATACGATTATAAACACCTTGTTATGACTTAATGGCCTGTACAACAGACCTATAAAAATGATTTTTTTAAGAAAAAAAGAAATTTAGACAAACAAGAAATCCCCTTCCTATATTGGAATTTGGTAACCCACCTTAACTTGTCATCATGACTGCTGGAAATGGTAAGTAGTCCTTTCACTTTTTTTTTGTTTGTTTTTGATTTTTGTTTCTGTTTTTTTTGTGTTTTTTTTGTTTGTTTAATTTTTGGTTAGAAAGTTCTCCAATCCATGAAGCAATCCTGAAAAGACAGTGTTTTATTACAAAATTAGGCAAATGTTGTCCCGCTTCCATCCTTTTTTTTTTTTTTTTTCTGGTATGTGTTTTTTCTTCTCTCCCTTGCCCTCACAACACGGCGAGAGGAAGCCAATCACATATTTCAGTTTATTAACCTGGCTGGCAGCCCAATCACACTGCACAGTGAAAAAGGCTAGTGGCAGCCCAGCTCTGCCCAGTTCACTGTGCCTTGGAGGCGGTGGTGGTGGTGGAAGCAGCCCCGCTGGCAGAGGCCACTGTGAAGAGAGAGTTCTGGATGGACTCAGCTGAGGTGGAGGTGGCGTGAAGGCTGGCTACAGGTGCAGAGTTCCCTGCGGAGGCTGCGGCAGCAGAAACCAAGCTAACTGGGTTGCTGGTGAGCAGAGAGAGGTTCTGAGGGTTCAGGAACAGAGGGGCAGTTACGATGTTCGGGGCTCCTCCTGCATTGGCAAATACCAGGTTCCCAGTTGCATCCAGTGACGTTATTGGAAGAGAGCCACCAGAAGCAAGAGCTACAGACAAAAACCCCAAAAGCAGGCAGAAAGGAGAATGTTAACATCATCAAAGAGAAACCAAATAACACAACAAGTCTTCTGAGTTTTCCTACAACTCAGCCAGCAGAAAATAGTACAGACCTTCACTGATATTTTTTTTCTCAGTCACAGTGCAATATTGACACCAATTAAAGTTTATTTATACAGTCAGCCCTCCATATCCATGGGTTCTAACTCTGTGGATTCAATCAACCTCAGATCAAAAATATTTGAGAAAAAAAAAAAAAAACCCAATAAAAACAAAAATAAAAAATAATGCAAATTAAAAACCAATACAGTATAAGAATGACCTATATAGTATTTCCCAATAAAAAAAAATAAAAAATAATGCAAATTAAAAACCAATACAGTATAAGAATGACCTATATAGTATTTACACTGTATTAGGTATTATGAGTAATCTAGAGATGACTTAAAGTACTCGGGAGGATATGCATAGGTCATATATTAATACTCCCCATTTTATATCATGGACTTGAGCATCCATGGATTTTGGTATCCATGGGGGGTAGGTCCTGGAACCAATTTCCCACAGATATTGAAAAACGACTGTCATTTTGAAGATCTTAAAGAACTAAAAAATCTAATTTAACAAGCATGAACAGGGTAGGTTAGAGAAGAGCTAATAAGAACAAAATGAATCAAAGAGTCACATTTCTGTCTTGAAATCTCAAGTATATTTCATTTACCTACAAATATCTGTTAAATTAATAATTTTGTCTTTAATGAAGATTGCTAATTTTAAACTACCTCCATTCAAAAGACAAACTAAAGTAATTAGAGCATTAAAAATATATTTAGCTTTTATCAAACCAGCTGGCATTATTGATAAATTTGAGCAAACACTTTATAGCATGATATACAAGATGAAAACTATATTCTGAGAAGGCTTTAGTTCTCAAATAATTATATATCACCAAATAAAGAAAAAGGTCTGATTAATTGTTCACTTCCTGAGGCAAAACGTTTGATTTCTATGACTCGTGCAAGGGAGATTGATGAGTCTACTGCAGGAGGAAACCAAAGACATAATGATGTAGGTGGCCCTCAGTGGATGATCTAAGGCTAAGACTTGCTTTAAGGGGTGAAAATCTTTCTATGATGCTGTTGCTTCTCCACAGAAGACATCATCAAAATTTATTTAAAATAACCGGGACTCTCATTTAATATCCTGTTACCTGACAACACCCCCAAATCTCCCCACCCATATAACTACCTCCACCTGCAGATTTGAGGGTTTTTCTAATGGCATTAAAAACTTGGTTGATTTCTTACATAATAAATAGCTGAGGGAACACCCCTGACTTTGGACATAATCATACAAATAGTACAGAAGAGTGAGTCTTGGTGCAGCTTGAAGTTTTCTGACATTCTAGGCTGTGGACCATAAACCAGTCTAGATCTTCCCAGACAGTGTCTAATCTATAGTCAGTCATGTCCTGGGGAAAGCATTTTGCCTTTGTAGAAGAATCCCCACGTCCCAAAGATTCTCTCTGATGCAGGAGAAAATGTGATTTATCACAAATCTTATTCCAGAAAGAAACCCTTGTGTAACAAAAGCTTTATAGATCTAACCATCAATTTGGGTTATGATTTAGTCAATCAAAGACAATATAATGTAAGGTAACCTATGCCATGATTTGGTTTTGCCTGTAATTAACATTCTCTCTGTACAATTGTTAGAGATATGAGCCATGAAACACTGATCTTATCTGAGGGCGGCTAACAGCTTATTTTTGGGCCCCAAAATTCGTGTTTAAGCACAAACTATTTTAAGAAAAAAATATTCTCTAATTAATATAGTGATGTCTTTCAAATTGTTTCCCTGAGTCACATAACATCAAGCATCTTCTGACCCAAAGCTTAGATGCTAAACAAGGCAAACCTTTACTATATGGAATCAATATTGCCCTGGATAACATGCTAAAAGGCTGAAAGAGACCCAAACGGGCTTGGAAAAGAGACATTATAATCCAAAAGAATATATGCTCTACACTGAGGGGAACATAAAAAAGGGCAGAGCATAATAAGAATTATAAGTACACTTGAAGTCTGCCTGATGTGCCCCAGTGTTAATTCATTATAAGACTTTCCCATACATGACTCTCTTAGGGGTAGGGATAGGGATTGCTGAATCTTACTTGGTCAAGCTGGCCTGGAGATAGGTTTTACATGAATGCCTGTATAAATATAACAGGAGGGGGAAATCTGCCTCCAACTCTATTCACATAAGAAGATAAATGTCAGCATAAAAGTCCTGACTTCTTACAATATACCAAACTAAGTATATTTCTTGTTCTTACTCACAAACACCTACATACTTTTCCTACAAAAAGCTTTTTACAAGGATATTTTCTTGATTCTCAAGAGCAAGTCAGTCAGCATTCGACTATCTTTCCCTATTACCTTCACTTCTAGGAAAGCAGGCTTCTTCCACTGAACGAACGAACACACACACACACACACACACACACACACACACACACACACACACACACACACAAACAGATTCTACTGACCTTGAATAGTTGCCAGTGTACTGTTGCTCATAAGAGCTGGGCTGAGAGCACCGCCCAGGGTCCCTGGATTGAGACTGAGTAAGGCACCTCTGCAAGTCCAAACGAAGGGTCACTTTATTACCATACAGACACATCTGTCAGTTTGACAACACATCCAAAAGGATAAGATAAAGGAAAATTCAGCTGGGGAGGTACATAAATATTTGTTATTTTCCATTACTCTTATATGGTTTGGTTAGTGCTTCTGCGTTACTGCTTTCCTTGATGCTTACTTGTACAAACAAGGTTATGATCCGCATGGAACATAAAACTTTTTCAACGATTTTGACTCTGCTTTGAATTACTTCTCTTTTTTCCAAAACAAAAGAAAGAACCCCAGAGAAAAGGATATATTTACAAGGAAATTCTTATAATGTGCTTGACAATAATTATATAAAATTACTGAGGCAATATATGTATTTAGTATATATATACTGTATATTTAATATATATAATTATATATGAAATCTCATGACTACATCTCTTATTTATGTTTGAGAATTAGAAAGCAGACAGTTGAGAGAGTTTAATGGAGAGAGCATACGAATAGTAGTTAGGAATTCTGGGCTTTCTTCTTGGCCCCATCTCTGAGGTATTAGTCACTTGGTGTGCTGGGTCTTCATCTGGAAGTAAAGGTATGACTACAGCCCTTTTCAGGATGTTAAGAAACTTGAGTTCAACTATAATCAAATTCTTTGCATCACTACAGAGCAGTCTATTTCAAAGAGATTATTGCTCTAAACAGATATTTTTTTTTCATTTAAGATGGTGATTGGTAAAAGGGCCATGAAAATCGATTACAATGCATAATGTTGACTACACTGATTTGAACATCACATACAGCACATAAGTACTGATATTCAATGCTATACCCCACAGATATGTACAATCAACTACGTTCCAATAAAAATAAATAAATAAATAAATAAATTTTTAAGGTTTCCTCAATTCCTTCCAAAAAAAAAAAGATAGTGATGGAAAGTCTCCCCTATGAATAACTCCAGGGATGATCTCCTAGTTGTTTCTCAGATGTGAAGGAGATGAGAAAGCTCCTTACCCAGCTGCGAACTGTGAGGGTGCCATCAGGCCTGGGTTTAGTCCCGCAGCAGCAGCCATGGCAGCAAGACTGGCATTTGCTGGCAACTGTGCAGCTCCCTGGAGGGCGGCAGCTGCTGCTGTTTGCAAGCCTGATGCTGTCACCATCACCTGGCTGGTCCCAAGAGGGGAGGACAAAGGAGTGGAGGTGGTCTGCGTTGTGCTGGTCTCACTGGCACTGGATGCCTCAGAGATGGAGGCTGAGGCAGAAGGGGAGGGACTCAGAGAAGGGGATGTAACTGCTGAGGAGGCTGGAGGTGCTGTGGAAATCACAGTCGCTGTGTTGTTGGAGGTGGTGTCTGTAGTGCCTGAAGAAAGAACTGGATTAGAAAATGACCTTCTGTAAATGGTTTTGGAAGAATGGTGGCTTTATTCAGCCATACTGTAGAATCAATGGAATGATTAATTTACCATCCAGTAACCTCTAATTTCTTTTTATTAACCTAGATTAGTATTTCTATGGAAATTAATCAGAAAAACAAACATTCTAGAAACCAAAGTTATGAAACCTACTTCAAGAGACAAGAGTGATAAAGTAACCATGAAAGAGAGAACAGTTTTCCATTGCCAATTTCCTATGTAAAAAAACAAAAGAAAGAATCACAGAAGCTCTAATTATGGAATATAATTGCTCTGGGGAAGAAACATATAAGCAAAAATAGAAAGCTTCTGGAAAACTCCTTTTCGTTCAGAAATCTCTTTAGTAGTCTCCATAGAAAAAATCAAAACAATGACAAGAAAAACTGAAAATTACATACTGTTCTAAAAATAAGTATAACAATATACATTGAAATAGTATAAAAATGGGGCCGGCCCGGTGGTGCACTGGATAAGTGCGCCGCTTGGGGAGCGCGGCAGCGCTCCCGCCCGAGGGTTCAGATCCCACATACAGACCGGTTCCCGCTCACTGGCTGAGTGAGGCGT